GCCCCCAGGAGGACTCTCTTTTATTAAACTTACAAGCTCACAGATAGTTGACAGTTTACAGATTATTGACAGAGTTCAGATAGGACAACGGTTACATAATGCCATTAGGATTGGTCAAAGAAAGGCTTTGAAGTTAGCTCCCTATCACTATGAGAAAGAGGAAGAATGGGTAGCCATGCCTCCCCTCAGAAGCAGCTGTGACATCATCAAGTTTGCTCTACACTGAAGAACAGACAACAGATTAGCAACCTTGGGGAGGGGGTGTCCACCACACTAATGACCTCACCCAGTGGTTTCATGTAGATGTTGAATAGCATGGGGGACAGTATAGAGCCCCGAGGGACCCCATGGATCAGAGCTACTGTCCCCCAGCACAACCTTCTGGACTCGATCAGCCAGCTAGGAGTAGAACCGTCGTAAAACAGTGCCTTTCATTCCCATGGGACCTGGTGGTGAGGACCTCCAGACTTTTGGTGCTGGGGGACCTCAACCTCCATGCCGAGGCCAACTTAATAGGGGCGGCTCAGGACTTCATGGCCGCCATGACAGCCATGGGGCTGTCTCAACATGTCATTGGCCCGACTCATGAGAAAGGCCATACACTTGACCTAGTATTCTCTATGGGACGGGGGGGATGGTGGTCCGGATGTGGTGGGTTTATCTTTACCGGGAAATGGTCCGACCATGACAACGGGGCAAGATGGTCTCATGGTTTTACCAAATCATTTATGTGCCACCCAGTTTCTGTTATCTATCACAAGCAGTTACTTTATATTGTCAGAGACGAATGGTGTAACTCTGTTCAAAAGTTCACTTCAGTCAGTCCCATAATCCTCTTCTCTGAACTCCATTTTGTGTGCCATTTTCAGCATCTTCGCCTCTGTGAGGCCAATCACACATTTTCCTCACAGTGCACTATTTTCTGTCCTAAACCAGATTTCAAAAGAACTGAACACCAAACAACTCATAAAAGATTGCACGTGTGAAATGCCACCATCCGTCATGGTGTTTTAGAGCCTGGCACGTAGGTTTTACTGTGTGAACTCTATTTTTACCTCATATGTCTGAGGAAGTGGACTCGTCCACGAAAGCTCGCATTATAACATGACGGAATCTTCTCAAGTCTTACACTCCCTCAAAATATCTTTGTCTGTTTTTCCTCCAGGGAGGAGAAGACTCCCAAAGGAACTTCCATTCCTTTGGCTTTTTTGGAGGAGAGGAACGTACAAGACTCTGCCAAAGCTGAGAAACAGCTGGATGACATGGAGGTGTGGAGCAACAAGGAATTCCCCGAAACAGCTGCACAAACCCATCCGAATGAGGACTTTCTCAACCCAGATGTTCAGCCCCAGCGTTTCCGGAAGTTCTGCTGCCAGGAAGATTGGGATCCCCGAGCGGTTTGTAGCCAACTCCACCATCTCTGCCATCAGTGGCTGAAGCCAGAGAAACACACCAAGGCTGAAATCCTGGACCTGATCATCCTTGAACAGTTCCTGTCTGTCCTGCCATCAGTGATGGGGACCTGGGTCAGAGAGTGCAAGCCGGAATCCACTTCCCAGGCCGTGTCCCTGGCAGAAGGTTTCCTCCTGAGCCAGAGAGCAGAGAATAAGCAGGAGGAACATCTGGTGAGAGTTCTGATCAGCCTAAGGAGCTGGAAATTGACCACCTTTTTATGGAAATGGGCTGAGCCAAGCCTGTTTCTCGTTCTTTAATCTGGTCTCCTTTCCTGTATGTTTACTATTTTTTGCTCTCTATTCGTATGTCAGCTCTTCAAATTTTGTTTTGAGTGCAGAAGTCTTCAGAATTCTTCCCTCAATCAATGAACCATCCATGTGGTCCCAGAGAGAGGCCTCTCTTCCTGAAGAATACGTGGGAGAAGGTAGAAAAGGCCATTTTGCCAGGTAAGGAACAGGCCGGCATATTTCTGGGTCTTCTTCTCTCGTACTTCCCCTGTGTGGATGGAATGCATTTTTGGTCCTCTGCATTGCTGCAGATGTTTAAGCTCTTGCGAATCGAAACTTGGAGAGACACTTGATGGCCTTGTGGGTCCCTTCCACTTTCATTACTGTATGATTATCTGATTTTATTGTCGTCTGTTCTGTTTCAAATTCTGGTTTATGAAGTTTGAAGCTTGGAGACGAGATTGAATTCCGGGGCTGGCCTCACCACCAGGAGCCAGGAGCTCAAAAAATATTTGGCTTTAAGATCCTGTCTTATCAAGGTAAAGGGAACTAGATCTGCAGAACGCTCATATTTCCACTCCTTTAGTCTTCTTTGCAGATGCAGAAAAAATGGTGGAAACACATCTTCACTCATCTCTTCTCTGTGGAGGAGTGGAAACAGTATCTCTGCGGCCCGGACAGGTAGGAGGGAATGAATGGAGACCAAGGGAGTGGGGAGGCTGGGGTTCTCCTCCCCTTATATTCTCCCTTATACCCCAAAAAGTCTTCCCGTTTCCATTTTATTTTATTTATTTATTCAATTTATCAGAGTGGGGAGGTTGGAGTTCTCCTCCGCTTATATTCTTCCTTAGATCCCAAAAAGTCTTCCCGTTTCTATTTTATTTATTTATTTATTCAATTTATAACCCGCCCATCTCTCAAAGCGATTCCCTAGGAATGCTGAGTCTATGATAAGTTGGATCCTGTCCTGTGATCATGAGCCACCCTGTTTGTTTGGTTTGTTTGTTTTCTACTCTGGCAAAGGGAACTTAAGGCAGCTCACAAAGAAAACAGGTTTTACTAGGTAATGGTAAAGGTTCCCCTTGACATTTCGTCCAGTCGTGTCCGACTCTAGGGATGGTGCTTTTCCCCGTTTCCAAGCCATAGAGCCAGCGTTTGTCCGAAGACAGTTTCCATGGTCACGTGGCCAGCGTGACTAGACATGGAACGCCGTTACCTTCCCACCAAGGTGGTATCTATTTATCTACTCGCATTTTTCACATGCTTTCAAACTGCTAGGTTGGCAGGAGCTGGGACAAGCGACGGGAGCTCACTCCGTAATGTGGATTCGATCTTACAACAGCAGGTCTTCTGACCTTGCAGCACAGAGGCTTCTGTGGTTTAACCTGCAGCGCCACCATGTCCCTAGGTTGTACTAAGGACATAAATTACAAAGCCAAAAACGCGATTCAAGGTTTAACCTGGCCGCTCCACAAAACGGCATGCTCATCCAGGGTCAGGTCCTTTCCTTTCAGGGTGCAGTGGCTTTTGAAGACATTGCTGTGCATTTCTCCGAGGAGGAGTGGGCGCTGCTGGATCCGAGCCAAAGAACTCTCCACCAGGAAGTCATGGAGGAGAATTTTGCCATTTTGCTGTCTGTGGGTAAGCTTTTTTTTAAAAAAAAACCCACCTTTTCCCCCATAGCTATTTTCAGAGAAGTTGTTGTGTGAGTCTCTTCCAGCAAGAAGAAATCTCAAGAAGGAGCAAAACTATAAGCCAAAGTACTGTGAGCTTCAACAGATTACAATCCACCCTGGCGGTGTGTCTGGAAAACTGGTTTCTGACCACCAAAGTGAAGGCGGAAATAGATTTGTTAATTTTAAAGTCTTTACGGTAAAAAAAAAAACAGTTGATGCATTTTACTATAAACCGCATGAGGGTTTTGTAATAAGCAAATAAGAAAACCAATTACAAATCAAATGGATTTGTTAATTTTAAAGTCTTTATGGTAAAAAAAAAAAGTTGATGCATTTTACTATAAACCGCACAAGGTTTTGTAATACTGTAAGCCAATTAAAAAAACCAGATTTCAAGTACTTTAGGGTTCCTGTGTCCGTGGGGAATCGGTTCCAAGCCCTCCCCCCGATGTTGGAAAACATGGATTATATAGAATGCTATTCATAGCATGGTCTCTGGCAACCTGTAGTGGCCGGTTCTGGTGACTTGAACGTTGGAAGCATACCTTTCTAGTGAAGTACTTAATAGGTAGCAGTGCGGTCAAAACAGAATGAAATCCAAATGCAAAAATAGACCATACCTTTATAGACCACTAAAAATCATCATTGCCGTAGAGTGCACAAGCAGAAAGGTATCTGTTTTGAACAAAGGCCAGCTGGAGAGGTGTGGGTAACTTGTGCTTCTTTGTTTGGAGAACTTGGTTGTTACACTCATTCCAGAGATGGCTAAGCTGTAACTATAAAAGAGCAACCAGACTTCCATCTAAGAGACCAGCCTGGCGAAACCCATCTTAACTGAGAAACTTTGGGCTTCACATCTAAGAATAGCTTTCCTGGCAAAATCCACCTCGCCGCGAACTTTTGGACTTTTATGTTCTTCATACTGGTACAGACCGGACGAAGTGGGTTTTTTAATCCATGAACACTTGTGATTTTTTTTTTAGCGGTGTAACATTCACCCTTATTATGTTTAGTAGTCATGAATATTCATGTTGTAGGCTAATGTTGCTAGGAGGCAGAGCCGAGAGAAATGGGATAAAGAGGCGGAGTCAGAGAGTGAACGCGGCCAGTAAGAGTCAGAGTGAGTGAGTGGAGAAGGAGTTAAGAGTGTGGTATTTTGGGAGATCTGAGGTGTGATTAGAGAGTGAATAAGAACTGTATAACAAATTAGGTTGTGATTGATGAATAATTAACCCTGCAGAAGTTACCTATGATTAATAACATCTGTAATCAATAAAAACGTTTTATTTAAAAGATAGTGAAGTTTGGACCTGCATCTTCATCCTTCCATAATTAATGTTGATTTAATGATCAACTGGTGGCAGTGGGGTAAAAAGAACATTAGTTTGCCTCCGTATGCTCTGTGTTTGGAGGGTCAGGCAGGGGCACGTGGGGCGAACGCCACAAGCGGTCTAGAAAGGTGTTCCCTATTTTTGTATCTGGATATATTTCTAAGATTTTTCTTTCAATGTTTTTAATATTTTCAGACCGTGGATAAGTGATTCAGTGGATACTGATCCCACAGATAAGGGGGTCCTACTTTACCCCCACAACAGGGAAAAGGACAAATTACCTAGCATTTGTGCAGGATCGTGTGTTTCCTTCCCAAGGATGCGGAGCCAAAAGTCTTCATCATGTTATACAGTAGTGCCTCGCTTAACGACATTAATTCGTTCCAGCAAAATCACAGTAGAGCGAAAATGCTGTAAAGCGAAATTAAAAAGCCCATTGAAATGCATTGAAAATTGTTCAATGCGTTCCAATGGGCTGAAAACTCACTGTCCAGCGAAGAACCTCCATGGGGCAGCCATTTTCGGTGCCTGTGCAGCGAGGAATCCATCCCTAAGCACAGTGGGGGGCCATTTTCTTCAGCTGGTGGCCATTTTGAAACCCGACAATCAGCTGTTTTTGATTGTCGTAAAGCGAAAATCGGTTCCCGAAGCAGGGAACTGATCATCATTAAACATAAAAAACCCATTGGAATCATCGTTTTGCAAAAGTGATCACAAAAACCTCAAAGTCAAGCAGATTCGTCATTAAACGGGGTAATTGTAAAGCGGGGCACGACTGTATCTTCATTAGACTTAGATATGGGTTTGGGGTTTTACGTTTTTGTTGTGTTGGTTTTCTTCTTTTTCTTTCCTGGGTTTGGGTTTTTACGTTTTTGTTGTTGTGTTGGTTTTCTTCTTTTTCTTTCAGCTCCTGGGGTGAGAGAGAGAAGGCCTGAGGAAGGAGGACTTCAGAAATGCTTGGGAAATGTGACGGAGAAGGAGGAGAAACCCCAGAGGAGGGAAACTGGAATCGAACAGAAAGGGAATGAATCCTTTCCTTCTCTGCCTAGAAGATTCCCTGCAACCTCGTTCAATGAAGACACCGAGCCAAGCAGTGAAAATCATATGTGCTCTGTGTGGAAAGAAAGCATCAACAATAAAACCTGTCTGAATTCCCATTGGAAAATTCGCAATGGAAGGGAGCTACTGAAATACTCGGGATACAGCAAGAGTCTTTCTCATAATTCATCCGTTGAAAAAGATCTGAGAAGGCAAAGGAAGGGTTTTTGTCAGGGAACAGACCTTCCTTCCCACAAGAGCACTTCAAGGGGGGAAGCTTGTTTATTAAATCTCTTGATGTTTGTAAACAGTCTGGAACATGGCCCAGGTCAGCTCCTAATGCGGCCCAGTCCCCTTTCAGTGCTTGGAATGTGGGAAGCATTTCGGCTACAGAAGCACCCTGACGTCCCACCAAAGGATCCACACCGGGGAGAAACCCTACATCTGTTCCCACTGTGGCAAAGGCTTCAATTCATAGCGGAAGCCTTACTTTCCATCACAGGACCCACACGGGGGAGAAACCCTTTAAATGCCTGGAGTGCGGGAAGAGATTCAATCAGAGCACTAAGCTGGCTTCCCACATGAGGATCCACACTGGGGAGAAACCCTTTAAATGCTTGGAGTGCAGGAAGAGCTTCGGCGACAGGAGCACCCTGAATTCCCATCAGAGGATCCACACCGGAGAGAAACCCTTTGAGTGCCTCAAGTGTGGGAAGAACTTCAGCCACAGCACAAACCTGGCGTCGCATATGAGAATCCACACCGGGGAGAAACCCTTTAGATGCTTGGAGTGTGGCAGGAGCTTCCGCCACAGCACTAACCTGACTTCCCACATGAGGACCCACACCGGGGAGAAACCCTTCGAGTGCACCGAATGCGGAAAGAGCTTTAGTCAGAGCGCGAGCCTGATTGCTCACCAGAGAAGCCACACGGGTGAGAAGCCATTTCAGTGCTCGGAGTGTGGGAAGCGCTTAAGTTCAAGCACACAGCTGGCTTGCCATTTGAGAATCCACACTGGGGAGAAGCCATTTGAGTGTGTGGTGTGTAGAAAGAGCTTCAGCGACAGCACACACCTGGCCCGCCATGGGAGGATCCACACAGGGGAGAGACCCTTTACATGTCTGGAGTGCGGGAAGTGCTTCAGCCGGAAGACACATCTCTCTGCCCATCAACGAACCCACACGGGAGAGAAGCCATTTAAGTGCTTTGAATGTGGAAAATGCTTCAGTAGGGCGGTGCACCTTGCTTCCCACATGAGAATCCATGGCCAGGAAGAAACATTTCCTTGCTCGGAGTGTGGAGAGAGCTTTAGGCGAAAAATGCACCTCACAAGCCATCAAAGAATTCACAGAGGTGAGAATGATTCAGGCTTTCCCTAATCAGAGAACTAGTAATTATTTACTATATTGGCAGAAGATATATATTCATTTTAAATATTTTACCTCTTCTTTTTTCCTTGAAAAGAATCCAAGATGGATGACATAGTTAAAAATTTTTTTTAAAGCTAAAAAGAGAAAGTATGCATATACTAAAAAGGATCAAGCAAATACCAATTGTTTTTTTAAAAGGTAAATAAAAAACACATTGAAAGCAATAAGGTACGATTATCCATTTAAAGACTTATGATGTTAACATCCGACCACAGATAAACAGAGACAGTCCTTGAGCCCATAATGATCATGTGCTATCAAGTCAATTCTGACTTATAGACCCTTTTTGGGGTTTTCTAGCTAGAGAGCTCAACCTCAGATATGCAGATGATACCACTTTGATGGCAGGGTAAAATAATATGGAGGATAGGCTGTTACCCAAGCAGCAAATCCCCCCTCTCCATGTTGCTGAAATAATCCAATGGAAAGACAAGAGCCACTACAACTGGTTCCAGCGACGTCGCAGGAGTTGCCAGAATGACACGAACTACTTCCGGGACTCTGGCTCCGGATTTTGCCTCGAGGTTAACTCCTGAAGCCTTTTCCATCAGTGGATATAGCCACAAGGCAGTGGAGGTTTGAAATCTGAGTTTTCCTTCTCCTAGATGGGCTGCCTTCCATGGCTGACGAGTCCCACTACCTGGGCTGCTCCCTCACCACATGGGTGATGGTGGCGCCTCCTCCGTCTCTTCACGGCATGGGGGTCTGGGATCAGAGTTTTCCTTCTCCTAGATGGGCTGCCTTCCTAGGCTGACGAGTCCCACCTACCCGGAAGTTCCTGCTCACTCCTCTAGGTTCCTCACTCAAGGCCTCCTGAATCCCTGCCTGACACTCTATCCACTATGCCACCATAGCTGTCATCATTGAAATTGAAATTGTAGTTGTAATTTTTATGATTTTATATATTTTTATACTGTTTTGTTTTATTTTGTAAGCCTCCCCGAGTAGACATGGTCTAGAGGGGCGGGGTAAAAATCAAATAAATAAATAAATAAATAAATAAATCATGTCATATAGCCCACTTTCAACTCTAATCTTGACCTAACGGGAGGATCCATGCTGACCAGTTGAAGGCTCAGCCAGACTGTTAACTGCCTCTCAGTTTGCAGAGATACAGACCAGATTGTGACCTCATTCTGACATCAAAGGATTCTGACCTATGACTAGGCTGGTTAGGAGAACTGTGGGAGCTGCAGTCAAAGAAAGCCACTTTATCAAGCCCTGCTTGGCAGGTGATGAGCTTGCCCAAGGTGACACAGGCTGGCTCTCACTCCCTGAAGGCACAGTGGGAAATCCAACGCCCAACCTCTGCCTCCACAACCAGCCTTAGCGTGACCCCAAAACCTACTTCCGGTAGAAAAGGTAAGTTAGAAACAGGGATTCACAGGTTCTGAAGGAATCAGGCTGGTTCGACAGCAGAATTCTCTCCTTTTTGGGATCCATAGAAGTAGGGATCAGTTGTACCTTTATTCCTCTGTGTGCCAGATAAAGGTTTGGTGGATTTTATTGTTTTAAATCAAGATGTTGGACCTATTTAAAAACAGCAGTAGTTTTTCAGGAGCATCTCAGAGTGTCTTTTTTTTTAATATCAGTGATAGAGAAATTCTCCATTTTTTTCTCCAGGAGTCAGTATCTTGGAGATTAAGAAGTACAGGCATAAATCGAATTCCAATCCTTTTCTCCTCTCCTCTTCTTAAACAGTAACAAATAGAGATGGAATAACCCCCCCCCCACACACAGGTGGCGTTAATGAGGGCCCGGCGTTAATGAGGGCCCGGCTCCATGGGTCCGGACGGTCCACTCACCGATCTGCCATGGATGCGGACAGCATGATTCTACGAATGGCTCTGCAGTGCGCAATCTGCTCCCCACGGTCCGGCCGCTCACCGATCCGCTGCGGACACGGACGGCGCAATTTGACAAGCGGCTCTGCGGTGTGCAATCGACCTTGCAGCAAGACTTGTCCTCCCGCCTCCTGCTAGGAGGGGTAAGCGGATTGCGCGCTGCGGATCCATTGGTAGAAGCGTGCCGTCCGTGTCTGCAGCGGATCAGTGAGCGGACTGAAAGAATGGGGCTGGACCCTCGTTATCACCACCTGTGAGGGAGGTATTCATATTCGTAGACGAATACAAATACCCCCATCTCTAGTAACAAATCATTCCCTGCTTCTCTCTTGTCAGAGTGTAAAATTTACAGGCCTGAGCAGAATAAATGTACTAATAAGCAGCCATGATGTTCAGGTGTGTCGAAATGCTGAGTCACTCTGACTCAGGAGGGCTGGCTCAAAGATGATGCAACATCTGTGCTGATTGGATACAGCCAGATGCATAAGTATATATATGTGGACTGTGCAGAGAAGATGTATTCCTGCTCTTCTGATGAATTCATGGTGTCATGCTGTCGCTCTGTATATCTGTAAATATCCTGTAAATACACGTCTGGTGGTGGAAGAAGCTGATTGTGTCTGTGTGTGTCATTTTGCCACAAGGACCTTGAAGTTACTCTGCTAAAAACTTTACGCATGTTCATGCACTAAGATCTCTCTCTCTTCCCCCTTCCTGACTTGTGGTGTTGCCTTCTTTTCCAGATGATGGCGGGACCGTTTCTGGAGGTGTTTCATGATCCTCGCAGGCAGAGGTTGCTCTGAACTTTATGACAATGTGGATTGAAAAGCACCAGAGGCTGGTTGACCAGGGAGACAAATTTGGGGGAAATGGAGTTTTGAAGGGCGAGATCCATCACGGGAATGCACTTTCTTGGAATCTGGAAATCTCGTGACAAATGTATTTTTTTTAACATGAAGATTGTAACAGGAAAGAAGATAATTTTAAATGTGAATGTGTGGAAGTAACAAAGACAGAATACAGTGGTGCATACCAGTACTCACAGAGAGTGTGTGTGTCTTTGGAAGAGAAAACTGGGTGTTTGTGAATACTGTACTGTACTTATTTAATGTATAATGCAGAAAAGATAATAAAAATCATCCTCATTGGATTTATTTAAAAATAAATCCAATCCCAGAATAGTATTTCCAGTGAAATGGACAGCTTTTTGTCTTTTGCTTGTTTTGTCAAATTCAGTGTCTGTGATTTGTACGTTTATTCTCAATAAACTCTCTCCACATGAATTTGCCCTGTTTGTAGACATTGGGCTTATATCTGTTTCCAGAGGTTTTATCTCCAAGGGACATTGTTCTTTGTTTTGAACAAATGCCAAACAGTCTCTATGCTCTCCTCCCGCTCAAATGAAGTACTTGTTGGGGGAAAGGCAGTAAAAAAATGACAAAATATTGTAACTACATAAGGACTAACTGGTTGATTTCCTTCTTGAAGCTTTAGCAGATCAAAATCCAATTCCTAAAGGTCTCCCTGAGCGAAGAGGATTTTGACCCATGAAAGCTCTCTCACAGAAGCCAATCTGGCAGTCTTTCTGGTGCTACAATATTTTGTCGGCTTCCTTTTTCTTTTTTTTAAAATTCAGTATGCTAGAACAGATTTCCCAGAGTCTGGGAACGACTCAAATGAACTGAGGTCATAAGAGCAGTCAGGCTGCGGCTGGGTTTGTGAACGAGCATCACTGGAGGAGATGGGTCTTCTTTAGTGGGATTATTCCCTCAGTAGAAACAAACATGGAAGCGAGGTGGGAGGGGAGAGTGTGGAACGTGATACCTGTCACTCTTCAGCATGACTTATTGAGCCAGATAATAACTTCTGCAAGTCTCGTGTAGCTGAATTGTTCATTGATTCATTCAAAACATTTTCCCCCTGCCTTTCTCCCGAAAAAGGAGAAACTCCCAAGGCAGTTTGTTTGTTTATTTATTTATTTGATTGATTGATTGATTGATTGATTGATTTGATTTATATCCCGGCCATCGGGTCTATACAACCACTCTGGGCGGCTTATATCATTTAAAAAAAAAAAGCAATATTCAAAAGCTAAAAACACCACTCTGGGCGGCTTAGATCATTTTAAAAAAAGCAATATTCAAAAGCTAAAAACAGTACAGTACGTTGTTCAAATCTTTAACTAGAATTAAACAAAATATGACATTAAAAACAGCAAATAAAAATCAGGACTCAAAAGTTAAAAGCAACCAGGCACAACAAACCATCTTTTAGGAAAAAAAACACCATCCTCTCAGGCAGCCAGTCACTGAGGGAAAGCCTGCTCGAAGAGAAAGGTCTTCCTCAGTCTGCGGAAAGAGAGTAACGATGGGGCCAGTTTGGCTTCCAGTGGCAGGGAGTTCCAAAGTCTGGGAGCAGCCCCCTGCTCCTCATGTATCCACCGAGCGCATCTGTGAAAGTGGTGGGATAAAATAAAGGCATTTCCTCTGATGAATTTAACATCCGGGCAGGTTCATAAAGGGAGACAAAGGTCCTTGAGAGAACTTGGACCCAGGTTGTTTCGGGCCTTAAGGCCAGTTTGGCTTCCAGTGGCAGAGAGTTCCAAAGTCTGGGAGCAGCCCCCTGCTCCTCATGTATCCACCGAGCGCATCTGTGAAAGTGGTGGGATAAAATAAAGGCATTTCCTCTGATGAATTTAACATCCGGGCAGGTTCATAAAGGGAGACAAAGGTCCTTGAGAGAACTTGGACCCAGGTTGTTTCGGGCCTTATAGGTTAAAACCAGCTCTTTGAATTGTACCGGGAACAGACTGGCAGCCTGTGGTGTGAGAGACCGAGGGTCACACATCCCCTCCGTCTGACAGACATATCAAGACTCCAATAAGGAATTATGTGGTAATCTTTTTTTTTTAATGCTGGGAAAGGTGGAAAGCAGCAGGAAAAGAGGAAGGCCACCTGTGAGATGGACTTGCTTGCGAAAGAAACCACAGGCTTGCGTTTGCAAGAAATGAGCCCCCAAAAAAGCCCATTCGCCCAAACACCAAACCAGCTTTCTGTAGAGCAACAACAACAACAACAACAACAACAATAATAATAACAACGAGGAATTTGAGCGGGAATCACTATGCGTGTTGGCAATGTTTGTGCTGCGAGCTCCTTTCCACAACGAAACCTTTGAAATTAAATTAAAGATTTTAAAATTCTTCTCTGCCAGGTTTCTCTTTTCCTCGCCTCATTCTAAAGGGGCCTGTTCTTCTTTTGTTTTCTAACTTCAAAGGGTTAAAACAAGTGATTCCTTGGTTCCTAGAGAGAGAGAGAGATCGAGAGGGAGAGAGAGATCCCCCCTTCCTCCCAGGAGCAAGAGAACGGAGTGATCTGCTAGAATGATCCTTTCCGTCTTTCGATCCTTTTGTCTCCTGCTTTGAAAGCTCCCCTCCCTCGGGGGGGGTGTGTGTGCGATCCAGGTGGGGCTGCAGGTGAGCCCTTGGGTGGGGTGGGGGGGAGAAG